TTTTTTTTTTTTTTTTTTTTTTTTCTTTTCCAAGAGTGTGGATGTACCTGCTAACCAGCAATGAAAAATAGCCCTGGAGCTGCCATTCAACAAGCAAATAACTCTCTTCTTTTCTCCTTGCAGGTGCCCCCAGAGGTATGTAGCATGCGTTGGTGGTCAAGGTACAGAGTTGGGACTGAATGGCTTGTGGGAAGAAATGGTTCAGAGGATCCTCCTTCACTGCAGGACAATATTGACTGTGCAGAGTCTAAAGTTAGAGGCCGTTTATTCTGGAAGGGGCCTTGAGCCCATGTTGCATTTTCAAAGCATCTTGGGTTGGGATAAGAGCTCTCTACTGCAGAAACTCACCAAAGCTGCTCTTCCACGGGTCTTCTCCCAGCCCAGACCCAGACCTGTTCCCCCAGAGCACAGCTGCTTTTCTCAGGTTTGCACAGCGTTCATGTTTGACACACAACTAATATTCCAAGGAGGTGTTTATTTTCATTTCCCTAAGCACTGTCTTTATTGGTTTCTCTCTGTTTCTACCTGCACATAGCTAATAGCATGCCCCGGGGATCAGAGAGGGGTGTGCAATGCAGTGATGCCTATAGAATACAAGGCAGAGCTGCAGATGCCTCTGAGCAGTTGCTCCTCAGAGGAACAAGTGAGGTTGAGCAAAATGCCAGGGTAACCTCATTACGGGCCTTGCTGTACCTGCGAGGGTGCATGCAAAGCAGCTGGGGCACCTCACGGCCCCTGAGGCTACGCTCAAACCAGCTGCTGCTATGTAAAACTTGGTTTCATCAGGAAGGAAATGGTGCTGCCAGTTAATTAAATTTCTTACGTATCTTTTGAGTGCTTTAGCAGTACGCTATCAGCTGCTAAGCTCTCACCCCAGTGGTTCAAAAATCTGATTTCCATGAAAAAGAGACTCTAGCTACAGTCCTGTGACCTTTCTTTCCCCCCGAAAGGTGGAATTTTATCTCCTGCCATGGCAGCAGGTCTGGCAGGTTTTGCATTCTTAAAAAATCTGGGAGGACGGGAAGGGGGAGGTTTCTGAACCATGCACATTCCTGATGTTTGCTTCTAGAGCTGAGCTAGCCCACATGTAAGACCCCACACAGAAAAGTTTATTCTGGAAGATGTTACACTCCAAATATCTTTTTATTAGGCATAACTTTTATTCTTGGAGGCCTCCATGAGCAGGCTCTCTGCTTTAATGCAGCCTGACCTCAGAGGCAGAGCTGAGCTCCAGTACCCTGGTGGCACCAGCTCTGGAGACCAGAGGGACGTCGGTCATAAGCCATCTGGCTTTAACGAAAAATAGTTGGTGGAAGAATTTGCCAAAAGTCTTCATAACCCCCATCATCATCTGCAAAACATAAGCATGACCTGAATGATTTATTGAGATGATCTGCAAAACAGGTTTGCACCCACAGCTCAGGAGTACTGTGATGGGATGCACCCGCCTCCTTTCTCTTCTCTCTTTCGGTTCTGTTGAACAGGCATCTCTTCTTTTCCATACATAACTAATTGTCCTATCTATTATATTTTTAATTTTTAAATGAAAATACATGCAAACTATTGGGTTTTTTTCCTTCTTTCTTTGCTTTTCATAAGTTTTCTGGCCAGACAAATATTCATCTGAGCAAAAACTTTTTCCTGACCAACAAAGCAAGAGAAAAATCGAACACCTTCATCAACCTCCGAGAAGTCCTGAACCGGTTCAAGCTCCCTGCAGGAGAATATATCATCGTACCCTCGACCTTTGAACCCAACAAGAATGGGGATTTCTGTCTGCGAGTCTTCTCTGAAAAAAACGCAAACTCCACGTATGTAGCTTTTTTGTAACCATGTAAGAGCGGTATGGGCACACGGGCGATCTCTGGCCCCTCTCGTGAGCGCTGAAGGATGGAGCAGCCCAGGGCTGGGGTACATCGGCTTCCCGCAGGGAGCGGGAAGGAGGCATGTGCAGCCCCCCAGCGTGGATGGGCTTGCGGCAGTTCTTGTTTGTCCCCAGTTTCCCCATGTGCAACTAAGGAAAGTGTGAGTAAACTTAGCAGGAAGGAATGGTGGAATAATAATAATAACAACAACAACAACGTAGTATAATATAACAAATTGTTGCTATTGTTATTGTTATTATTATTATTACCACCAGCCCTACCTGGGCACTCATTTTTCGTTATTGGGCTGTAGGCAGCTGGGTGCCACAGCACAGTTTGGTCTGCGGAGAGAAGAAAACCCTGGGGAGCGGCAGGCTGTGCTCCGCTTGGGAGACAGAAATGCATGTGCTTTCTGCTGTCTGGGAACACACTGACTGCAAGAAATGATCTCACACAGTTGAGATCAGGCTGGAAAAAAATTCAAGCTAGTTGCTCAACCAAATGATACCTTTGATAAAATTAAAATGGGTTTTGATGGAACCGGCTCAAACCACACCGTTAGCTGTGAAGCTGTGAAAAAATTTAGACGTGTCGCATCTTAAAGAGCAGCTGGGCTAAGGCCTTGGGAAGGGCTGTGGGATCTTTCATACTGAGTTCCCTAATTCAAAGCAAGCAAAAACCTTTCTACTATTCTGTAATCTTTTGTTGTGTGTTTCTGTAGCGGTGAGAAAACTGGGACGTGAGTTGTGTGAAGGCACATTCAGCTTTTGATGGGCCCTTAGCAGTGCTTCTGCACCATCCGTAGGTGTGATGCTCCCACAGCAGCTGGGGGACAGCATGAAACACTTCTTCTCCCACTCTGTCACGTCTGAATGACTTTAAGTCTCTCACCTTTGCTGTTTTAAAGGAAAAAAAGAAAAAAAAAAAATACTAGATAGAAGTTCGATTTGCACCCAAGAGCCTGGTCCTGGGCTGGGGTCTGTAGGCATTGGCACTAAGTGACCCAAAGAGTTATGTCTGACCCAAAATCCTGTCTGTACTCTGCAGGACGTTGCACAGTTTGTAATGTGTTTTGAAACTCTTGTTGCCGTAGCTGGCAAAATACTGCTTTCGCTGGTGTTATGCAGTGTCTGTGGTTGATTTAATCCAGTAACCTCTGAGCTTTGAACGTTCATCGTTATTCCCGTAATTTAAAGAATCTCTCTTTAAGTGAAACTTGAAGCAAGGGCATCAGAAAAGTGACTTGTTTGGGTTTAAATATTGATTTCTTTATCTTTCTAGGGTTATTGATGATGAAATTGAGGCCAATTTTGATGAGGTACATCTTAACTTATATGTTTTAAATTAAGATCATTTTGTCGTAAGTAAGTGGGGTTGGAGTGCCTGTTCCCTGTGCAGGGCAGCGTTTCTCTATAGGCGGTGTCAAGAACTGTTGTCCCACTTTGGAAACGGATCTTTTAATATCCGTAGTTGAATGTCCAGCAAATGGAAACATCATAAGCAATAATGGAAACACGCGTTGTCCCTTATCCAGAGTGGTGAGCTTGGGCTTGCCAGGTAGAGGAGACCAGGTACTCTCTGCAGAGGTAACTGGAGCCACGGGAAATTCCTTGGGATGTCCAGGAATCTGGGAGTGCAGCCCTTTAGCCATAGGGCTGGTTTTGCACGTGATGTTGTTTCCATGAGTAAGAAGTGGCTCACCATATGTTTAGTCTTCCTGGAGCTGGGGATGTTTCGCCTACTAATGCATCTACCACTCTGTGTGGGTTGGAGTTTTTTTTTTTTTTTTTTTTTTTTTTTTTTTTTTTTTTCCCCCAGGATGAGAACTATATTGTGCTTGCTTTTCTTTAGTGAAGACAGCTAGTCCAACAGTAGTAGTAGTAGCAGCAGCAACAGTGAAATTCTGAATTTGGTAGTGATTTTTTAAATAAAATAAAGAATTTTTTAAATCTTTGTTTGTTTGTTTGTTTTTGTAAAAGCCATTGTAAAAGTTCTTAATTCCTGCAGTGTTTGCAACACCAGCATTTTGAGGCACCCCTGAAAATATAAAACTGATTAAAATCAAAGTAAAAGCACTCTGTACCTTCAACTTTGCCATTTAAATTGTGTTTTACTAGGGGCAAGGAAATGCATTAAGTCCTTCTTGGGCAGAAAAGTTCCTCCTTTCCATATGCTCTGTTTCTCTCTCCTAGACTGAGATCAGTGAAGATGACATCGAACCCAGCTTTAAAAAGCTTTTCGGACAGCTCGCGGGAAGTGTGAGTATTTTCCTGATAACATCTTCCTGATAAGTTGGGTGAGCGGGTAAGAGAGACACCTCCCCCAGGCTGGAGCTTAATTCTTGTGCCAAGTCAGATCTCGAGCATGTGCATAATTCTGCATGCAAAAATCTGTGTAGTTACCCGTCTGCTTACACAACGGATTTGTGAGTGCTCCTGGCAAACAATCTCTGCTCTCTTTGAACTGCAGGCTCGACTTTTATCTCTGCAGGTCCCTAATTCTGTCCTTCGGGTAGAGCATTTGGTGCAGGCTCCTGGGTCCCTCTGGGAGATGATGAGGCCTGGGCTGGGCCTTCTCCCCAGGCTGCTCCCGCCTGCCCGAGGGCTCGGGCAGACCCCACAGCCCAGTGTGCTAATGCCTGGGAACTGGTGGTGCTCCTGGGAATGAGCGGTGGAGAGAGCTTACCACTTGCGTTTCCATCCAAGGGAAACTTGAACTCCAAGGGATGTTTGAACTTGGCCAACTCACCCAAAGGAGTCAGAGTTCAGCTGCTTATGAGATGGTGTCTGCAGCTCACAATGAAGAGCTTATTTTCCTCTTTTCCACAGGACGCAGAGATCTCCGCCTTTGAACTGCGCAGCATCTTGAATAAAGTCATGGCTAAACGTAAGTACCTTCCTCTGACTGCATCTTCAGCTGGCCACCAGCAGGTTTCCAGTGTGGCTGTGAGAGCACAGAGCAGAGCACTGACCTGGGCAGAGCCAAACCCCTGGGCTCTGCTCCAGACCTGTGGCTTGGCTCTCTGTATGGCCACGGCCATGTGCTATCTCTGCTCCTTCAGGGGGCTGCGGAAACGCTGGGGCTGTGCCCGCGCAGAAGGTGTGTTTTACAGGATGTGTGCCTTGGCAGGGTGCATATGGGTGCCTTTTATCCCAGCATCTGCTACTGGGAATTGGCTGCCAGGAAGATGGACGGATTTGATTAATGCTTGATAATAATCAAGAGAAGGTATTGCTGCTACTTTAGTATTGAACAACTCAGGATTCAAACAGTAGCCCAGCAATGCTCTGGGGTGTCCCTGAGCAGAGGAGAAACTTCGAAACTCTGGGCTTTTTTTTTTCTGTGAAGTGATTCAGAGCTTGGCTCTGCATTATTTTCCTTTCCACTAAACAGTGCTCGAGAAATAAGTGCTTGGAGAAGTAAGTGTCTCTTTAATTTCCAAAAGTGAAATCTTAGCCAGGTAGCCAGGACTGTGTTGTATGTCTGTGTGCACCAGCCAGTTAGCAATCATGTATTGCTGGTTACTAAGCTTGATTTGATGTTCTTCCCTTGCATGAAGCTACCTACCACTGACCTGCAGAGGTCAGAAGTCCCTGTTGTCCACAAAAGTCCACCCTTGTCTTTGCAGGTAGACAATAAGGGCAGGAAAGCTTTATCTCTGTCTCTTGCTTCTGTAGCACACCTACAAACCAGATGAACTGGGCTGCTTGCTTGGGGAAACATCACAGCTAACTTTCACCCTAAGTCTCTTTGTCAGGAAATCAGAGGGCCGCTTATTAGCATCCATTTGCCCGCTTCAGTGCTGTGTCCCTCTCCTGTGCCAAACAAGGACCATCTCGTGACCCTTTGCCAAGAGCCTTGTAGTTCTTGCTCATGTGCCCTCCCACCTAAAGCTCTCCCTCGCTGGCGAGTCCTGACCCCGCTCACCACGCCTCTAAGTGAGCGCTGCTTCCCGCTCTGCTGGATGCAGAGGAGTTGGCAGAAGGCGTAGCTTACCCCGGCGCGGGTACCTCACCAACATCAGGCGACGGTTTCCCATCCAGCGGTTGAGGGAACTGGGGGGTTATCTGTACGCAGGTATCCTGACTGCAGCTCTGCAGGCATCGCGTCCTGCACAGTCTGCACTGCACTAGGTGCTTGCCAGATCCCAAAGGCTTCGGATGATATTAATAATTGCCAGAGCAGGAGGCAGGCATCCCCTGCTGCTCCCTGCACTCATCTGGCCCAGACTGTGGCAGCGATACAGCTGGACACCTATTCCCAGGGGAGGATTTGAAGTAGGCAGTGGGTTGCCATAGAGTAACTAGCAGGTGTAGATTACAAACAACGTAGAGCACTAAGCACACATTATGTAGAAGCAAAAAACCACACCAAAATGAAAAAGTCATCTTGCCAGTTGCAAAGGAAGCCACCGATGACACAGAAGCAAGGGCTTCTCTGTAGGCTGAGGGTATACGCTGGTTGCGGAGCTCATGAGCTATTTAGGAACGTGCTGTGGTGCAGCATGCGATGATAATCCTGTCTTTTGCTCTTTCTTTACAGGCCAAGATATTAAATCTGATGGCTTTAGTATTGAGACGTGCAAAATAATGGTTGACCTGTTAGATGTATCCTTTAAGGCTGTTCCTAGAAGATATTCTTCTGCCTGTGCTGGAGTAGGTGAGCTGCTGCCTTTGCAGTGGCGGGTCCATACTGACGTACTAGTGACTCCTGAGGTGGAGAAGCTGGTTTTACCGTCGTTCCCCTGAATAAAAATGGTAGCCCTTCTTACTGCTGCTGACCGTGGCACATGCATTCTCCCAGGCAGCGGGGAAAATCCATTTTCAGACAGGACTATCTGCTTTGAAGACTTCCCAGCTGTTGCATGTTTGGTTTAGCCAGGGACAAAGTGGTGTTTGTGCTGGGAAAAGGCACTTGGCTCTCAGCATGGTGTGGATCGCCTTGGCTGTGGAGTTTGAACATTGCATTTCACGGCTTTGTTATCTGGCTGGAGTTGGTAATGGCATTGTAAAGCCATGAGGACTTAGAAAATGAGGGAAACAAATACAGGAGCCAGAGAGTATGCTGGCTTTTAGGAGATTCTACGCGTAAGAATAAGAGCAAAGGTGTAGGATGAAGGATTCAAGTCTAAGAATAGTTGTGTTCAGCTTCTCTGTGCAGTGGGAGTTGAATTGCATAGTCAGAAAAAAGGAAAATTACCAAAACAGAATGATGCTCTGCTATAATTTGGTGTAAAATATGGCAGTTCGTAGGGTCTCCTTAGCGGTTTTTGGGAGCGATGCAATGACCAGGTTCTTTTGTTAGCTGTTTGTGCAAGAACTTAAGTTCTCCAAATAGCAGGCTTGGTTGTGGCTTTTCCTGTTTGTAATCCAGGCTTAGGACTCACGCTCCTGTAACTGCAGGTGTTGAGCCAACTACACAGAACAAAATGGCATCATCTCGGCTGTTTTATACATGTATTGAAAAGGGAGAGAGAGCTACCAAAGGAGGAGCAGAAAGAGCTTCTGAACTGATGACAGTTTAAATGAATCAATCATCTTATTGATTTAGAAAGGCATCTTGGACAGCAGTTGGGTATTCAACAGGATGAGTCCTTCAGAGAGGACTTCCATCCTTTTCTTAACTGCAATTTTTTATTTTTTAAGTATTAAGTCACAGCTGCCCATGTAAGTAAACCGAGCACAGGGAGGGGAAACCCCTTTTGCTTCCCTCCAAAGAGATTCCCTTAACTCAGAGAAGAATGACGGGAGTGGTAAACTGGGACTGAAGGAGTTCCACACCCTCTGGACGAAGATTCAGAAATACCAGGTAAGACAGCCTTTTTGGGAGAACACGCAATCAAATGTAGAGGTGGCTGTAGGCTGATTTGCCTCTTACGATGCGTGCAATCCCAAAGTCGCTTCCCAAAGCAGGGACTCTCGCTTCAGCTGACGATGCATTTGTGTCCTCAGTCCCCCAGGTTTTGTCCCTTGGAGTCCAGGGGTGCGACTGCTTGTCCTTCAGGCACTTGGAGAAGGGCTGAGGGAGAGGCTGCCTCTCCTCCTGCCTTACTCTCAGAGGGGCTTCTGGTTTGTTTTGACTCACGTCCAAATACATTTAGCCTTCCCACTTAACAGTGCGAGTTTGGTGTCAGTCTTGCTGCTTGCTTTGGTGGCAGTAGTGCCATTTTGCATGGGCGTTCAAGGAATTCGTCAGAGTCTTTATCCACTCTGGCTGTTGCATTAAAAAGACTCACTTTCTAAAGCTGCTCTTAGACGAAGTTGGGGATGAGTACCTGGTCCTTCAGACAAATGTTGCAAACAGTCCAGAACATGCAGGCTGCATTTCAAAATATTTGACTTTCGACTAAAGCCAAAACACGCTCTGAATTATTGACAAGTTTTGACTTTGGGTTTGGTGTTCTGCAGAAAATTTACAGGGAAATTGATGTGGATCGATCCGGTACAATGAATTCGTATGAGATGAGGAGAGCACTGGAAACAGCAGGTATTTATATTGGTCTGTCTCTTTTTAGGACTATATCGGTTTCAAGCTGGGTTGACAGATGCTCACTAGTCTCCTGTAGACCACTTGTAAGCTGAAAAATCCTCTGAACTGAAAGGCCCCCATTTAATCTAGATGCTCAGCCTCGGCTCTTGTCTTTGTAGCAGCGTCTTGCCATGCAGCCACACTAAAAGCATCTCAAAGGAGTGACGGGTTTGCAGTTATTTTCTTTAGTGACTAGCTTTTGGAGAAGCACAAATAGCTGCAACAATCTGGCCTCCCAACAGCATACTCTTGTCTTTCCGTGAATCTCTCTGGGTAGATGTGGGCTTGGCATGAGCTGGTAAAACTGGGATATTGTGACCTAGGGAATGGAAGTGGCTTGACCAAGGGGTGATGCTCACAAGAGCCTTAAAAGAAGAGTCAGTTTGCTACTGCAACCGCTGAAAAGCAAATCTGAGTTATGATGGCGAGTGAGGGGGGGAATCACAGAGCCATACGATCCCGAATTAACTTACTGATCTTCTGGGGCCATCTTAACGTCCGCATTTGGGTTCCCTGGGGATGTCCCCTCCGGTCCCCACATAAGATGAAGCAGCATTTCTTTTTGTCCCAGCGTTTAGATACTCTTTGGAAATAGAGACCCATTTGCCCACAGAAAGCCACTGCTTCATCTCGGGTCTCGGTGGGCTGAGTCTGGCAGCCGCCTCGTCACCCAGGGAAGGACCACGAGCTGGAGCAATTGGCCGTGTCCCCCGGGAAAGAGGAGTGCAGGTGTGGGAGCACACGTGGCAGGAAGAACGCATGTGACCTAGGCACAGCTCTCAATCACTCCAAGTACAGAAGGGCTTCTTGGGAGTTTCCAAAATGGAGTAAATACTCTTAAAATTTGAGAAGTTAACCAAAAGTAGCTAACTGAATTTCTGGCAGTGTATAAGGTCGGGGCTTTTTTGTTTGTTGGAGCTTTTTTTTTTTGCATTTTTTCTTCCCCTTCTTTTTTAAATCCTTGACATTTGTGTTTTTAGGGTTCAAACTGAACTGCCAGTTACATCAAATCATTGTGGCTCGTTTTGCTGATGAGGACCTCATCATTGACTTCGATAACTTTGTCCGGTGTTTGATTCGGCTGGAAACCTTGTTCAGTGAGTACATGCTTAATGACTAGACAGACTCTGTTGCTTTGTGTTTTCAAGTCCAGGGTAAGTTATTCAGGAAACTTTGTACTGGAACCAAAGTGACTTCAAAGCTGAGCTATAAATCTGGCAACCCAGTCTGCACACTCTTCCACCTAGATCTAGACCCAGAGCCAGACAGTCTTCCAGGCAAACAACTGAATGTTGATTTAAAAGAAAAAAAATCTGAACACTTATAGATTGACAAATAGTGTTAGTTTTACAGACTGAATCATTAAAAATATTCAGTCTCATTCTTGCACAGAAGCATGCAGTGACTTTAGAGTGGCACTTTCTGGTTTGAGGTGTAGACCGTTGTGATAGATTTTAGACTGTGGGACTAAATTTGGTTTTGATGCTGAAGCACATGGAAGGGGAAGGCTTTCCAATTAGTTCCCATATTCATCCCTGTCTGTCATCTCTCTCCTACCACAGAAATGTTTAGAAAACTGGATACAGAGAAAACTGGAACAATAGAATTGAACCTTGTTAATGTAAGTTCATTTAGCTCCAAAACGGTTATTGTCATCTTTTTGGGGGGGGGGAGAAAAGGGGTTAACGGTACAGACTGTCCTGCTCCATTCTGACTGATTATGGCTGGTTATATGTATTTACATATATGCTGGATTTATATAGCGTGTGTATTTATAAGCAGTCTTAAGAAAAGGCTACCCTTTTTTAAAATGTACGTACATCACATTGTGTTCTCTAACAGACAAGGTTACTTGAACCAGAAGCCACTTATCCCTTCCTGGCAGTAATTTTGGCTGATACGTATGCAGGTTTCTTCCCTGCCTTTTCTGTCAACAACAGGGTAAAACGTAGGTGCAGGAGTGACTCATGGTATTGACCATGCCTGCTTCTTTGTGCACCATGTGTGCCCCGTAGAAAGGACTAAGTTCAGAGAAAACTACCCTCCTCCATGTGTTTGACTTGCTTATTACCTGAACGTAACTTATTGCTGGATCTAAATGAGGCATGTGCAAATCATCCCAAAACTCTTCTGACTTACATGAGATATAAATTTAAATCATTCAAGAAAGATCCTAAAATTACTTCTGTAACAACAGACTTTCTTCCTCATGCTAGAAATAGGAACATGCATACTTGCTACAGGTATTTTTACTGAACTTAACCGTGGGCCGTTTTCCTCTCTCTTGTTATAGTGGCTGTGCTTTACTGTCATTTGAGCCACTGACATCCGCTTGAGAGACCTCAAAAAGAGCAAGATCAGGTGAAAATAATCAAGCAAACATACAAGTGATATCCTAACGTGAATGTGCCTTAACTTCTGCATGGCAAATTTTGCACACAGTTATAAGAAGGAAAGCATTCTACTTCAACAACAGAAGAATCTGCACCCTCATTTTTATGGGTCTGACAGTCTTTATCTACTACTACATATCCTCTGTACAAAAGCTTTAATTTAGTATAAATCCTCAGTATAACTTTTGAAAATACTGCTTTGCTAATATCTTTGTATTTAAGGTGTTTTACATGACTTCTGGAAGAAAGCTCATTACAGCTTGACAGTCTGGTTTAGTGAGTGCTGTTTGAAGCACAGCTCCGCTCCATCCTGCATATCTGAAACTAGAAAAGGGCTGGTATTGCATAGCTCTGAATAGAGGCGGTTAGGTAAGCTACGGGTACCTTGTATGCTTTCTGTCAAGCCCCAGGATTATTCTGGTTAAATATTCTTTGAAGAATTTGAGTAGCACGTACCTGTTTGACAAAAATGAAGGACAAGTCTTTCCATCCTAACCATTGATGTGCCTGTTGGCAACCAGACTCTTCCAAGAGAAAGCCCATGCTCTCAGGTGGGATTTTAACTGCCTGTACCTTGTTTATCTTCCTTTGAAATTCAAGAAAGTATTTAAATAAAAACAGTAGAAATAAAGTTTGCAGGACTGTTATTCCTTCTGCAAGTAAGCACCTTTTTTTCTTACAGATGGATCATCACAGAGCATCTGCAGAGCTTTCATTGTCAGGAGCAGACTATGTTGCCTTTTAAAGGGGAAAAAACAGCATTCTGGAGCTGCCTTGGCACTGACAGGCACCCTGGCTGTGTGTCAGTTAATGAAATGTTAGCTAGTCTGATACTTTAAAAGATTAACGCTTGAAAAACTAAAGGTTTCCAAGAAAGGTAATTGATACTCTATACCCCATACCCAACCTATTGAAATCATAAGGCTGTGAACACAATAGTTTGCTGCTTCCAGGAGTTCTCACTACAGCTGGCTTAAGTTTGCCCACCTGAGGAATTGTGTCATCCTTCCAACAAACAATTCCTTGTATTTATGGGCACCTTTTCAGAAAGCAGCAAGGACTTACCTAGTAGGAAAACATGAGCCTGAAGGGTGAGGCAGTGAGACACTTCATAAATACCCTTAAGGAAAGATTTGATCCTCTCTATTAAATAGTGTTTGTTATCAAATGATTATTCCTGAATAGACAGATATAAAGGATAGTTCCAGGGGAAAGGCTTTATTTGGAAAATACTCATACCAAGTTTGTTTTTCTTAAGTATGTCCCTTAGCTTTAAAGGTTAACAAACGTTATATGCACTACAGATCTGGCTTAACTTCAAATGCAGACAGACTGTCTTGAACCGGGGGGGGAGGAGGGGTTCAATTTAATACAGAGAGTAGCTGAATGTTTGTAACATAGACAGCAGTGTATCTTACTGTTAATATTTTCAGATGGTCTAATAAGAACTCGACACTAAAATACCCAGAGTTAAAGCTTAAGAGGAGACAAAAGTTTAATGGTATCACAGTCACGTAAAAACAAGTCAGTCGTCAAGGACTACAGAAAGTTTCTACACTTAGTTTTCAAAGTACAAAACACAATAAATACATGAGGCTCTTTGTAAAAAGAGGAATCTAAAACTACATTGTCTGTTACAGCACGTAATATTTTGAATACATGGAATTCCTAAGATGCTACAGCATTTTAAAAGTTATTGCTTAATGGATTGGTCACATGGTTGTCACCATTCAGATGCACTTCGGTTTAGCTTCTTTAACAAATGTTCTGCTTCCAGCAATAAGCATTTGGGTGCTGTGCACGTACTTTATTTTAATTTCTCCCATCTGGAAAAAGCCTCGGGATAAATTTGGACAAAGCCAAGCTGTCTGTTTCATGATGATTCCTTCCACGGTAAATTTAAAAGGTCCTTGTATTTAATGCAGAAAAATGTGAAATTCTTTTCTGCCATATTTGAAGAAATCAGAGTGGGTACTTGAACGTAATGGCTTGCTTAGACCAAAGGCAGCAGAATTTCATTTGCTTGTAAGCATTATTTCATCTTGTAGAATGCCCTCATCCATTTGCTAATGCATCAATCCTTCATTTGTTTTCAAAGCACATTCTTCATAGCTTTCAAATTACATTGTCATTGAAATAAGTCTCATGATATTGGAACCAACACAAAATGAATTTATTTTTTTTTGTAAGTCATCCATGATTAGTACTTCAAGAATCTGGCTTCTGTACTATTTCATGCCAAGCTTCTTTGTCTAGGTTTAATCCTTGGATACAGCTGAGGGTAAAATAGAAAGGAGATTTAAAATTTTAGTGCTTTAAAAGGTTACTTTTTTTTAAAAAAAGAAAAAAAAAAAAAGAAAAACCTCTCTTTCAGTGCTACAATTCTAATGTCATCTCTAGCAACAAAAGCATGGTTATAAAAAAAAACACCCAGAGCACCAGCAAATATAAATTTAGCATTCTTAGGCAAGCTTAAAAAATACTAACCATGTCAGTACACAAGGAAGGCATTGAACAGCACATAATTCAGTGCCTTCAGCTCTACCCAGATGGGTGGGCTAGGAAAAGCATGTGGCTTTGTAACTCAAGAGACTTTTGTGTTCAGAGAACTATAGGATTTTTCCCTGGTTTATAAATGGAAATAGAGAGGTATTAAAGTCTGGTTTGCTTTCTCTCTCTCTCAATGGCTATCAACCCTTACATATCTATAGCTTTGGGCAAACTGCAAACATCTGGCTGCGTAAGGACCGTGGAACTGCAGGAGTTGTGCTTTACTTAGTGGATAGTGGGTGGTCAGTTAAACTCATTTAACTGGCCAGCAGTAAATCAGTAGTTGCCACCCTGTGGCCCTTGAGCTGTGCGCTATTCCCACATTCTGGCGACACACATAGAGGTACGGAGACTGCCTCAGCCTCAGGGTGATGATTGATGGAACACAGCTCGACACAGCACGTAGCAGTGCCGAGATGCTTGGGAAGCTCTTGGCTCCTACTTGCAAAGGGCTTTGGGAACAACTACTGTTCTGCAAAGCACGGCTACTGGTATATATAGATAGAAGGATACACTTCATACAGTTAGGGAAGATGAATCCTCCGTGCTCTAAACGGCAATGCATGTCTACATGACATCCTGGGTTTTTTCAACTGAAGTTCTCCTTAAAGATGCTGCCTTCTCTCTTCAACCAGACTCTGGCTTTCTTCTTTTTCATAGGCAGATAACGATTAAGAGAAGACCAACAACTTCACCCATAAGGTTTGTCTCAGCCCGCTATGATTTCACCACTAGCAGACATGAAGTCAGTCAGTCAGTTACAGTAGCATAACACCTGACAGCGTTCAAAAAGGTTTTGTTTGGTATTAAGTCAGTATTTGACGGTATTATCTTACTTGCATTCAGTTTTAGAGCTCTCACACAGCTTAGGGAGCTAGTGAGTCCCTAAGAAGGGTAGAGTACTGATGCAAATAATTTCATCCTTTCCTTGTTTTTATTCAGTGCACCTAACTGCAAAAGGATAAAGCAGCTGTGATAAAAATACAACTTAGTATAAGAATATATTAAACTACCAAACATTTTCCTCTGTGCTGAACATCTTAGCCTAGATTTCAGCTGCTATATTAGGAGTCCAGTAATTGCTTTTGAGAATAACCACAGAATACTTCGGTAGCAGTACTAGAATGACTGGACAGACGCAAGAGCAGAACAGTTAATACTGGGCTTGGGAAGTTTTCCCCAAAGGTTCTGTTGGGATTGTGCTGCGCTTAGAAGGACGAGTTGTGATCCCCAGTCTAAGCTATATTGCCTTGTGCTTTTTATTACAGAAGCACAGGTGCTCCTCGTGTTCTTACACACCTGTGCTCAGGCTGAGTACGCAAGCTTATCAAGAAGTAGCACAGGCACAATTCACCCTAGGGCAGGAAAAAAAGCTGCCATTTCTGACCTTATTGTGCAGGGCTGATGGCTGCTCTCCATTTAGAAATGTTTATGTTTGGAAAGGAAAAAACTGAAAAGAAGTATTATGTTACAGAGAATTTTGTAATACATTGTGGATAGGCCTGACCTGAAAGTGATACAGAAATGAAAACTGATTTTGCATTAGATATCGTCACTCTGCAAATCTAACCAGTTTAAGAGTAAGGATTATCTGCATGAGGAAGGAGGTTCAGCCTCTTTCAAGCATCATACATCAATCAGCTAAAATTCACAACGGTTAATCTTTTAGCATTGGCAGAACCTCTTATCTCCAGCAGCTGGGCAACTGGATATGTAGAAAAAAGCTTAATGGAATTTTTATACATGTGTCCATCTGCTATAATTTTCTAGCAACTCAGCCATGAGGAGAAATATGGGGACATAATGGAAAATATCTATTATTTCTATACAGTTCTTTTTAATAAAAGAGGTAGTACAGAAGGCGATGAGGAAAGGAGAGGCCATTAATTTAAGGCCTTTGACATATGGTTAAATATTACTTAAAGAGCATAGAAGAAAACAAAGATCTGCTTTTATTTGGCAATCTGATCTTTTTCAACTAGGAAAAAGATAACCATAGAATTTTGCTGTGTTTGTCTTAAAACTCTCTGTGAAACCATCTGGGATCACAAGGTGCACTGTGTACACCTGGACAGGGAAGGACTCGTGACTCATTCTTCATACAAGTTTCAGATCTTAAGGCCCTTTGTGCCAGCCTAACACTTTCTAACAGAGGGGAAACCCAGTTCTGTTCACGTGCTTAACAAAAAGCTTATGCACGTCATGGTCAGATAAAAGGTTTTTTTTTCCTCTAAGATGGTGACACAAGGTTAGTATTAGCAGGGTGGTTGATACATGTTGTTCTTTTACGCACGCATTAATATAATCTGTGTTAAGTATCTAAACAGAGGGTGTTAACCCACTCTGCCAAGGTATTCAACTCCCCAAAGGAATAAATGGAGAACTTCAGCTCCTTCCTCCTGACTTCTGAAATTGCCCCAACTTAGATGCATGAGAATAATGCT